ACAAAAAAAAAATTTAATGGTACTGAAGTTGCATGTATGCACATATTCTTGCTTTCTGAACAATATATTTAATGTTTTCAGAAATTTGAAAATATAAAAATATATATAGATAAAGAAACCGTAACTATTAAAATTTTTAGCAACAAGATTTTCTTTCACATATTAAATTAAAACTGTTAAATTGTTATATTACAATTAATGGTTTTAAAGTTAAAAAGGAATGAAATGAGTTTTAAACTTATAAAATGATGGTTACCCGGGTAGTAACAACGGGTGGGTACCCGGGTACCCATCGACAGCCTTAATAGACATACATATTTTATTAGTAGTTTATTTCATAGTTTAATCTATAATCTTTATTAATGTTGTTTATTTATTTGCAAAAAGATAATTGGCAGGAATAAACTATTTTGAAATTTTTTTTAGTATTAGCAATAATTAAGAAATTAGTAACAACTTATTACATAAAAAATCATTAATATGACTATAATTACTATGACTACAAAAACATAAGTTTCTAAATTGGTTTAAATAAAGAAATTATTGAAATTTGCATTGTACATTGTGGTATTTTTTAATCGTTAAGAATATTCTTACAAGTAATAAAAAACATTCAACAATGACGTTTAAACTTCACTCATAATATAATTTTTTTCAATAACACCAAAAAAGACATTCATTTGTAAAAATTGCATCAACTCTTTCATAATTTTCTTTTTAATTTTTTTTAAAACGTAAAAAAAAAAAAAAATTCAATAAAAAATGTAGTATAAAATATATTTAGGATTTGAAAAATGAATGAATTTACAATTTTAAAATAAACTGATCAATAATAACTGTTCAATGATTTTAAAATAAACTGATCAATAAAAATAAAAATTAAATAAAAATGTTTCACTGATATCTTTGTTACTTTTTAGTAGCTAACACTAACCGCCTAAAAAATGATTAAACTTAATAAAGCAGTTGGACCAGACAATATTAATGGAAATATTGTTATTGGTTCTTATGACATCATTAAAGATATTCTTTTTTAAATTTTTAGTTACTCAAGATTTTCAGATGCTCTCAAAATAGCTTAAGTTACTCCAATCTTTTAAGGTGGTAAACTCAATAACTACCGCCCAATTTCAGTTCTTTCTGTTTTTTCAAAAATTTTGGAAAGAATTTTATATAATAGAATATATAACTATATAACTATAAATATACAACAATCAATATGGATTCAAAAAGAATAATTCTGCTGAACATGCAATACCTCAACTTACAAGAAGTATTGCAAGTTCATTTGAAAAATCATAATATATTCTAGGCATCTTCGCAGATTTATCAAAAGCCTTTAATACTATTGATCACGAAATTCTTTTTAAAAAACTACAACAGAAGCATATTGCACATCTTATAAATTTTAAAGGCCATTTTACTTATACTAGGCCTCTTTTAATTAAAATAAATATTCTTAATGTGTATCGACTTAATGTCTATAATATTCTTTGCTTTATATATAAATGTAAAACTAACACTTCCCCTTATTCTTTCTATAATTTATACTCACATTAAAAAAAAAAAAAAATACTATCTTCAAAATGAAAACTTTATCTAACAACCTTTTTTGCACACAAATTTTTGGCAGATCTTGTATCTCTTATCGAGGAGCTTTTTAATGAAACAAAATAGTTTTGAAACTTGATTTTACTCAAGAGTGGAATTATAACACATTTAAAATAAAACTTAAACAAATAATTTGATCTATTGATAACATACTCTTATATTTTTAATTTTTATAAAGTAAAATTTTTAAAATTCAATATTTATTTTTACTTTTTGAGAATATACATTTTTAACACAATAATTGCAACGATGTAGTTGAAAAATAAAGTTTCTGGTTCTCGGTTCTCGGCGACAAGACCTAAAGGTCTTCTACGAGATTCCGTGTTCTTCCTCTTACAAACTTAACCAGTCTTGTAATCATTCTATTATATTATTGAAATTATTACAATTGTAAAACAACTAATATTGTAAAACATTTAAGGAAAAAAAAAAAAAAAAAAAAAGTAACTTATCCTATAAATGATAAATTTTTATAGTGGTTATCAATATTTATATAATCATTAATTGGATTATTTTAAAATTTCAAAAAAAATTTTAAATAGATGAGAGAAAAAATCAGCATTTTCAAAAAAGACTTTTAAACTTTTTATTAGCACATTAAGGAAAAATATTTACTTTAATAATAAAAACAAGTTTTTATTTTTAAAGTAAAATTTTTTACTTTTTTATTTTTACTGAAATACATTGTTTTATCATAAAAAAAGATTTAAAGTTTACTTTTTTACAAGTAAACATAAAATTTTTTTTACGGATTAAATTAAAGAAAAAATTGTTTATGCATTTATTTATCTATTTAAATTGTTTATGCATTTATTTATCTATTTTTTAATATATATTCCAATTAAATTTTGTTTATAGGATTTTTTGATTTAGTAACTAAAATTCTTACCTTCAGTTGAATAAACAAAGAAGCCATCTTTTTTAAGACCTTGCAAAGGAATTTTAAGGTGTTTATTTTCATCGTTCATTTCGTTTTGACCCATACTACGTTTCCATGAAGTTGTTAAAAAATTACAAAAATCATTTTCAAATTTACAATCTAACATTGTTTGTAAGCTCTGTCCAGTGCAACCTAAAATATTATATTTGTATGTATGTATGTTTGTATACATATATGCATATATATATATATATATATATATATATATATATATATATATATATATATATATATATATATATATATATATATATATACACACACACACACACACTGATACAAATATACATATATATATGTATATATGTATATATATATATATATATATATATATATATATATATATATATAAATATATATATATAAATATATATATATATATATATATATATATATATATACACACACACACACACACACACACACTGATACAAATATACATATATATATATGTATATATATATATATATAAATATATATATATATATATATATATATATATATATATATATATATATATATATATATATATATATATATATATATATATATATATATATATATAGTTACTGAATGAATTGATCTGATTATTTGACATTATCATACACTGCTGACAAGACATGCGATATTCAGTTAAAGCTATGATCTAACCTTCAAGTTGCAAAAAGATTTTTACAACTGAAAGATGTTGTAAGACTATGGGACAAGGCTTCAATTCCAACTTTACAAACTTAATCTGTGGTGAAATGTGTTGATGGCTTAATTACTACTGGACCAGAATTGTGTCACTCAAAACCCGGTTCTAAATGTTATGCTTATTTTCAGAAGAACTTGGGTTCTTTGTTTGATATTGTGTCATGTAAATGCTTGATGTTATACAATAAATCTACCAAGCACGTGAATGTTTTCAGCAAGTATTTTAGAGAATCGAAAGTTTTACCGATGGAACAATTATTCTTACTGGATCAAGGAAATTTTTGTTGTATGTTTATTGGTGGTGTTGATGCAGTAATAATAACCAGATTGCAGAGTTGTTTAAAAGGGAAGCATGCTAATGAAGAATATCTTTTGACAAACAGATCAAATGAAGCTGACAAGTTGAGTTTTTAAGGGGTGGATGATACTAAGACAGACTCAAGTAAAGAGGATAATGATAGTGAAGGGTATCTCAGTGACATTGATTTCTTGCTTGCAACAGCTACTCAAACAGAGCAAATAAGAACGCCCCTACCATATCTAGCCAAGAAAGCAAATAAATATTGTATATCAGATCAAGCTACAGTATCCCTGGTAACTGCAGTCTTATTAATGTTGGCATGATTACTAGGATAATCAGAGTTTGATGGTTGACAAGAGCAAAGATAAGCATGAAAAGCCATGAATCTGCCAAGTTGAACTAACTCTTAGATGTCTTGTGAACTGATTCATTTGTATGTTATACACAAATGAGTTGCCCTTACGTCACTTATTTACACATTTTGATGGTGCTACATCTGGTGCTACCAGTTTTAGTGACCATATTGGAAAGGCACTGCAAACCAGCAAATCAAAACCAATCATTCAGTTCCAACAAATTGAATGCAAAGACAGTATGCCAATTTTAGACTAAGATTAATGTCTTAGATGACTTGTTTTCAGACCAACTGTATCTCTATCACATAATTAACACAATTAAAAGTGGCATTGTGTCTGAGAATGTGTCATCATGCAAGCTGGTTGATATTGCTCAACAGAGTTTGCCAATTGTATATTACCACTCAGACCCTACAGATAATCTTTGTGTGATCACACACTTCATAGTAAGCAATTACAGTACTAACTTGTTTACCATTAAGGGGTCTCTCTGTGTACCAATGGTGCAAAGCATGTTTGATATTGTCACTATTGTGAAGCAATACATAAGATGAAGTGCATACTTTGCTCATTGTGAAAACCTGTTGCTTGTCTATGTTTCATAACAGCTCAAGAAAAAAATAAGCATTAGAAAATAACAAAGTTTCAAATTTTTAAATAACCAAGTTTGAAATAATTAAGCTTGGATTAAATAACTTTTAGACTTTGATTTTTTCTAAATTCTTTGTACCGAAACTTAAATTAAATAAAAACATATTATTTTTATGCTTTTATTTATTTTTGTTCATTTTATCATTCATTGAGATTTTTATTTTTTTAAACTTGCTTATGTATTTTTTTTTTAGTTTTTTTTTCTATTTCTGGTTTATAGTTTGTTTGTTTTAGTTTAAGATTACATTTATTTATACAGCACAAAATATTATACTCATGGTCATACAAGGCATGCAACCACACACGCCTCACTCCTGAGAAGATTTGTTACATATATATATATATGTTGTTACATATATATATATATATATATATATATATATATATATATATATATATATATATATATATATATATATATATATATATATATATATATATATATATATAAATATATAATATTTAAAACTTACCAGTAACATTTCTTTGTTTAAACCCTTTTCCACACGGATTTGAGCATTTACTCCATGGGGACATATCTTGATTAATTACAATTTCATTAACATCTCTACAATTGCCTTGCGAATCAACTACTTTTTCAGACTCTAAGCATCGATTGAGAAATATTTGTATACGAAATTCTGCTAGAATTTCAGTAATATTCTCATCACTATTCCCCCATCCATCTCCTACAAAAATGGCAAATAATAACTGTTTTGACTGATGTGAATTATTACTACTAGGTAACCAAATTCGTACACTAACTTTATCATAAGCAAAAACTAGACCACCATGTCTTAAATTATTAACTGAGGATTGCACAGAACCTATACCCTCAAAAACTAAACTATAGGGCTTGTTTACTGATCGATATTGCAGTTTAACATAAGAAGGATACATCTTTAGATTGTGCTTTATTTCAAGAAATTGTGTAGACAAATTTCTGACATCAATAGACTTCCAGGTTGTTTGAAAAATAGGTGGAGGAAAAGAGTTAATCCATAAACGAATATGAACTGTACATGTTTTTGAATACATTTCTGTATAATATTTTCCATTGCCCCACTTTTTATTTAACAGAGTACAACCAGTTTTAGACTTGTTTGGTGGCCACAAAACAACTTTTTTTTCATTATAGGCAAATATAACTCCACCATACTCTCGATTACTTGATGTTTGAGTTACTCCTGTGGCATGAAATATATATGAATTTTCAGGGTTGACTCCAGAAAAAATTCTAACACTAACAATTTCTGGCAATTGATTTAAATCGTGATCTATAATATTAGTATTTTTTTCTAAACCAGCATCAACTTCAGTTATAACTTCAAAAGATGGTGCAGGTCCGTCTTTCCAAGCTTCAATAGTAACTTCTGCATCAACAGAATCCTGAAAAAAACTATTTCCTCCCCAACTACCTCCAACAAAAATAACAGAACCTACTTTAGAGCTACTTGATCTTGTTGGTACCCATACTCTAACGGTAGTGTTATCATAAGCAAAAATAACTCCACCATAAGCATTGTTATCTTTAACATCACTTTGACAGGCACCCGTTCCATCAAATTTAAATCCTTTGTTATTTCCATCATTTGCTATAGCATAAACTTGAACATGAAATGGAATTTTACCAAAAAAATGTTTTACTTCAACAAAAGAATTACTTTGTGATGATAGTTTTACAGTTTTAGAAAAGTCTGCAGGAGGAAAATCACCTAGATGGAAACCAGTAAATATTGCTGATAGTTTTTTCATTAATATCAGAAATATAATAACTCTAGTGTACATAATGAAGCATCTATTTCTTGGTATTTCATTATTTCTAAAAAAAAAAACATGTAAATTAAATATAAAACCCATTAGTTCTTTTTTATTCAAAACTTATTACTATAAAGAAACTAAACTAAAAACGTTATTTTTAATTAAGAAAATAACAACCAGAAGTAGTTATTTCCAATTAACTTTTTTTCGCTAGATAATCATTATGATAATGTAGCAAAAAAAAAAAAAAAAATGCAGTGTAGTAAATTTTCTTTTTTTAGTTTTCATTAATTTACGAACCATTATCAAGTATATGATAAGTAATGATAATAATTCGAAAATTACTATTAGAAAATGTCTCAATATCACTATCATCATTAGTATCAATTTATAGTGTCGATGATTCGTTAATTAATTTACGATAAATTAATGTTTAGTAATATAAAACAATTTAATATAATAAAAAGTATTATAGAAAATGATCATTAAAATATTGATCCGTAAATTACATTTTAAGAAACTAATGAATTTAATTTTTTATACTGATGATTTGTATTAAAATTCGATTATGATAATAATTAATAGATTCGCTAATGATTTGGTAGTGATTAATTGCTGCTCGACGACATCTTCCGGATTAGCAGTTTAGCTCGATAAATTACGTATATTTTACGTATAAATTACGTTAATTAGTGGATAATTCATTATTTCAAAATCTTAGAACGGGCAACAACGTGGTTTTTGGTTCCGAGATCAAATCAAATCAAATCAAATATATTCTGAAACAAGTTGTTTAACATTTCAAGGATATTTACAATAGTACGAGTACTAATATAAAGCAAATACCCAAAACAAAATATCAATATAGACATTTAGAAACATATTATTAGTAATGATAATATTATATTAATAGTGTAAATACTACTAACAATTAAAACAACAATAAACATTAAATCAATATATATATATATATATATATATGTATATATATATATATATATATATATATATATATATATATATATATATATATATATATATATATATATATATATATATATATATATATATATATATATATATAGCAATAATAAGTAATACTGATAGTAAAATAGAAAGTAAAATAAAAATAACAAAAAAGTTAATATTACTATCATCTGAAAACAAAATAATAATGATAAGAATAATAATCATAATATAAAATTCAATCATAATAAAAAAAAATAATAATCATAATAAAAAATTTTTAATAACGAAGGTAATAAAAATAAGATAAATAGAAATGAAAGAAAATAAATTGATGATGACGATAAATAAAGATTCGAGAAAATCCTCGTCAATAACAGTGATAATATTACCAATGAAGTTAAGATAAATAGAGACAAATGAACGAAAATAAATTGATTATGATGATAAATAAAGATTCAAAAAAATCCTCTTCAATAACAATGATAATATACTAACAATAAAAATAGCAAAATGAAAAAAATAAATATATAAAAGGAAAAGCAGAAAAAATAACCAAAAAATTAAGGATAAGAAAAGACTTGGTAGATAGAATTTGGTAAATAGGTAGAGAATTTAAAGTTATTGAGGATAGGACAATGAAAAGCCAGAGGATTACTAATTTATAAATATTATAGGGAGTTTAGAGTTTGACTGCAGAGATATTTATTTGTATTTTATTAACAAGTGATTGAAAAGCTTGACCTTGAAGTCAAGAGATTGAGTTTAGAGATTTTAAATCAGGGGGAGATTGTTCCATGCGCTTATACTTTGGTATTTAATGATCAGCCCTTAAACCTTTTTCTTCCACAGTTGCACTAATTAAACGTTAGAAAAAATATTATCAAATTCTTTTAAAGTTTTTTCAATAAGATATAGGAAGCTGAATACATATGATATGAATACATAGGAAGCTTACATCTTAATAATTACCTGAGAATACGCTTCGTCATTTTAATATTGTTTTTTTTAAAATATAATTTGGTTAGAGGTTACGATTTTGTGTTGTACCATCTAGACATTATGACATTGCTATAATGTGACAACAAGAAATCTGCTTTATAAAAGTTAAATAAATCTGACTATGAAGGTGTTTTAAGAAGTAAGTTTAATAATTTTATCATAAAATTATTAATATTTGACATTAAAATATTAAAATCTGGCATAACTGCGTTGTGTCAGAGCACAAATAATGTTTACAAGCAACAAAAAACGATAAAACAAGTAGGTATATTTTGATGAAACAAATTTCAATTATTTAAATTTTTAAATAATTGAAATTTGTTTCATCAAAATATACCTACTGCTGTAAAAACTGCTTGACAAACTGCAGTAGTTGCTACGAATGTTAGTGTAAAGACTAACATTTAAAATTTGAATATTATTGTAAAACTAGAGTTTAAAGGAGTTTTTTGATCTTTATAGTAAACAAACCTACTTCTTTTTTATTTAATAAATGTGAGTTTTATTGCATTAACTTATTACGTCAATTGAGGAACTCCCACGCAAAACCAGACAAATCCATATTTAAAAAATTTAAAAAAATCTTTTGATATTTTTAATTCCTTGATTTCTGTTGGCAACTGTCTAAGTAACTTGTCTATGTAACTGCAGTAAGTAAGAGACTGCTTTTGCTTGAAAATCATGCATACGACAATAACAGCCATTGTCTGTTACACACAGTACACATAATATCGTCATTGGTAAACATTAGATCTGTCCGTTTTTGCATGGGAGCTTTCAATTAAGAATTATACAAAAAGACGCATGTAGAATATACGTTTTAATTTTTGATAAAACACATGTATGAAAATAGCTAAGTAATTTAAACACAAACACACACACACAGACCCGCACGCATACACGCAAAAACATTTAAAGACTATTAAAATATATATACAGAAACCATATCCCTTGTAATATATATATATATATATGTATATATATATATATATATATATATATATATATATATATATATATATATATATATATATATATATATATATATATATATATATATATTTAAACCTAAAAATAATACAAAATACCTAATAACATTAAAGAAAATAATCAACTTCATTATCAGATGAAATTTTGTGTTCAAATAATAATTATTCTAAATTAAGTTTTGAAAAAACATTTTGTATTCCCAAGTATAATAAAAGTTGTAAACTGAAGATTTAAATGACACGTTAATTACAACCCCAGCTTGCGTATTATACTTGAGGAAAAGGTTTTACAAACCCTAAGGGAAAAAGAAATTATTTTTTTATGGAAGGGAAAAAGATTATTAAACCTAAATTAGAGTTATTTAAATATTATTTAATTTTGAGATACCTTTTTAATACATTTTAAATTAAAAAATTTTAAAAGTGTTTAAACACTTTTAAAATTAAAAGTCTTAATATTATATTTATTATTTTAAGTTGTAAAAGTTGTATCCGTAAAACTATTATATTTAATATTATTGTTTAATGTATTTCACTTAATATTTTAAGTATTTTTAAATTCATGGCAACTTATGCTCGTAGTTTTCAATCGTTGAAAAAGTTGATAAATAGATTAGACATTATTTTAAATGTTCAACTAAAATTTAAATTTGTTCAACTAAAAAGTAACTTTTAAGTATTTTTCTTCGCTCCAGCTTGACGTTTCTATCGTCACTTCGGAATATTTTCATAAATCATAAATTTTTTTTTCAGAAAAGTAAAGTAGGAAAGTAACAAGTTATTTCTTTACTAAAAAACACAAAAATGTTTTTTAAAAACACAAAGCTGTGTCACACTGAGCTGAATTAACGTTTCACCTCAACTTTTAATTTAAATTTTAAAACATTAGACCATAAGCTAAAAATTATTTAAAATAAACTGATGCTGTATATAAAAAACCTTTTAACTAGTTAAGAAACGATAAAAAAAAAAAAAAAGTTCTGTTTTCAGGTCGCTCCTCCTCGTTCTCTTCACAATTTTTTTTCTTCACTTCATTTTTTTTCTTTACTGTTCCTCATCATTCTCTTAACAAATAATTTCGCTAAACTTATTATCAATCTTATAATTTACAACTATTTTGAGATATTTGCCAAACCTCTTTTCTACAACTTTATATTTAACGTATCTAGTTAAATATAAAGTTGATCTACATGATCGTTTACGTTTGATATACGAGTGGTCGAATACTTTTTTTTAAGCAGCACAAGTGAATCTAAACTGGGATTTATCTAAGTTATTGGGTTGTATTTGGCTAAGAAATGATCTTGTTAAAACATGGATTGCACATGATGTATTTAGGGGTGTGTGTATTTTTTAGGTTTCAGTTGGGATTGGATTAGAATAGAAGAAGATAAGATACAAATGGTATAATGGTAGTGTGTTTAATTGGTATGAGATTTAATTAGCATAAGTCGCATTAAAGGTTTTTGAAGAAATATCGATAAAAAACTTAATATTACATTAGCATCAGTTTTTATTTAAAATAAAAACATATAAATATGTTGATGAAAATATTTGGACAACCATTCACAAATAATTTCGCAAGACTAAAATAAAAGAAATGTTGTCATGCCGTCAAACTTCTTAGTTGCTTTTGCCAAAATTACTTTGAAAGCATCATGCTAAGCATATTGATGATAAAGATTATTTTTAATACGTCATTATTATTCTATATATAAGATCGGCTTGGCGTGTATTATATCGATGTATTTTAATTGCAATAGTTTAATGGTAAATGTTTTATAACAGTAGCAAACATATTTACTTTGAATCGTTTTATAACAGTAGCAAACAAATTTACTTTGAATCGTTTTATAACAGTAGCAAACATATTTACTTTGAATAATTTTATAACAGTAGCAAACATATTTACTTTGAATCGTTTTAAAATGTTCTAAATTGTAATCAATTAAAAATAATAACAAAATAAACAGTAACATTTAATGTCTTCTATGTCTTCTATCTATTATTAAATATTGAATTATTAATCTATTATTAAACACATTAACTAATGGAGCCATTTTGCATGCTATCGGTAAGTTATTCAAATCATTGACAATATAATTTGTGTAGAAACCAGGGGTTTGAAGTCGTAAAAAAAAAATACCGACTCCGACTTCGACTCCAATCGTTGAAATTTTTAGAGTACGACTCCGACTCCAACTCCAAAGCAAAACATTTGAAAAATTCTTTGAATTCTTTAAAAAGTATTACGCGATAAGTTAAGAAATTGTTTTTGCCAAATTTATGAAAAGTTCTTTGAGGTTTAGTATGAATATAAGGTTAATTGAATATTTTGTACATGCACGCGCAAAACCGAGAAGTTTTACTATTGGAGTCGGAGTTGCAATTTTTTTTAACAACTCCGACACCGAATCCGCTATAAATGTTGCGACTCCGACTCCACAGCCCTGGTAGAAACTATGACAAGCTTTATTATAAGTAAATTCACGCATTAGGACGTTGGATAATGATCTGCGGATTGGTGGATTATGCCAATTAATTATCTCAAAACCGTTTTTCTACACCTTTTCAAGATGTAAATGAGAACACGAAAGTTGTAAATAAGAAGCCGTAATAAGTAATTAAGAAACACAACATGTAATTGAGAAAACGTTATATGTAATTGAGAAACACAACATGTAAATAAGAAGTCGTAAGATGTAATTAAGAAACACAACATGTAATTGAGAAAACGTAAGATATAATTGAGAAATCATAATATATAATTGAGAAATCGTAACTTGTAATTGAGAACACATAAATTAAAATAGCAAATTCACAGTCTAAGTTTGTAGGTTGTTACAAAAGGTCTTTTTGGACATGAATTTAAGTTATAATCTTATATTTTGCTTTTGTATGCACAAGTAATAATAATGGAATTGAAAGATCGTTGTGTTATATGCCAATACACTATGACCCGAAAGTCTGGGATTAAGCTAAATCCGTGTCAACATTTATGTCACCAAATTTGTTTACGTCCAGTTCTGGAACAACCAGATTCAAGTTGTCCGATTTGTCGGCATGAAATACACACAACTGAACAAGTTGAAAGGAAACGTTACGTTTTATCTTCTCCAAATGACAGGAGAAGAGTTGTTGAATGTGCGGAGCGATTTGAAGATTGGGTGAATCTCGCGCAAACGCTAGGTATCAAATATAAGACAGCATACAATTGGGTTTGCAGCGGAAATTCAAATTTCATCGGAAAAGGAGATTTTAAACCGAAAAAGTTGACCAAAGATCAAATCGAAGAAACATTAACATGGATTGAAAATGATTGTCAATTAACATTGGTGGCCATCAAAACAAAGATATTAAGACAATTTAACATAAACGTTAGCACAACAACAATAGCAAATTACCTCGAAGGCAGATTGTTCTCATTAAAAAAGTGCACAAGGAGCCTTCTACAATGAACAGTTATGAAAACAAACAAAAAAGAGCTGAATATGTTAGAAACATCAACGAACATATCACAAATGGTTTGGTTGGATGAAACAAATTTTAACCTTTTTTGTAGAAAAACGCAAGGACACGCGAGACAAGGAAAAAGAGCATTTATGAAAGTACCTGCTTCAAAAGGTTTAAACATACACTTGATCGCAGCTATTTCAACTACAAATGTCGTCATGATAGAAACTCGCAGGGGATCATTTAAAGCAGATTCCTGTAACGAGTGGATGTTGGCTATGTTTCACCAGTGGGTTACATCCGGGAATCGTTTGGAGGATTTGGTCGTCGTAAAAGATAATGCTCCTTGTCACGCTCGTTTGCAAAGGGTGTTTGATAATTCACCAGCTCAGTTGTTACGTTTGGGACCTTACAGTCCAATGTTGAACCCGGTGGAAACGATCTGGTCCAAAATTAAAAGTAACGTTAAAAATGCAATTCGCATTCCACCTGTATTAGGTGACGGGATTGCGGAACAGCGCATGCAATACTTAGAACGAATTGTAATTGAGGCGAAAAATACTATAATGGGAGGAGATTGTGCACGTGCGGTACAACACACAACCACGCACTATGCAACTATTTTAAATATGGAAGACGTACAAGTTGGTGCTTAAATGATCAATGAAGTGATTTTTAATTATATAATTTTTAATTATAATTTTTAATTGAATTATAAATTTTTCCCTAAAATGTTTTTAGTGTTTATTATGTTAAATTCATTTGCCCAAAAATTATAAATTTTTCCCTAAATTTTTCCCTAAAAAATTAAATTTACGCTACAAATCTTGCTTCATTTTTAAGTGCGTCATTTTATACGCTCCATTTTTTTACGCGCCATTTTACACTTACTCCTTTAAAGCGATATCTAAATTAAAATTTTCGTGTTCTCAAATACATCTTTCTATTTCTTAATTACAACTTGCATTTTCTCAATTACATGTTACGATTCTTAATTACAATTTTCGTTTTCTAAATTACATCTTATGTTTCTTAATTACAACTTACGTTTTCTCAATTACATCTTACGTTTCTTAACTACAACTTTTGTTTTCTCAATTACATCTTACGGTTCTTAATTACAATTTTTGTTTTCTCAATTACATCTTGAAAAGGTGTAGTTTAAACTGTTGAATCAAGTTGTCGCGTTACCTACGAGTTTCCAAAGTAGTAAAATTAAGACGCCAATACCTTTCAGAATTAGGTAATCTTAAATAAATCATGAGGTACTTTTGTTGCTTTTTACTAATTATAAAATGGAGTACGCTTATGCTAAGGTGCAACAGAATGATCATGTGTCTATTGGTGCTATATCTGATATAAAAAGTGAAACGTTAACAGTGAATAAGCATATTGCAAATGGTGCATTCTTGCTTAAAAGGTGACATCATTTCTTTGATGTCATCTTTTAAGCAAGGATACAGTAAATACAGCCTAACATCGGTACAGCAGATACAGCCTAACATAGGTATTGCATAGTTTACTCCAAAGCTTCAAATCTCTTGATCTAAATGTTTATTCAATAAGCCGAGTATCATATTTGCTTTGTCGTGATGCAACTTGTATGTGTTGATTCTATTTTATATCATTTGATATAACGATACCCAGATCTCTCTCAATATCCGTTGCCTCAAAAGTAACATCTGTTGCATCCACAGTAAGTGATATATTTCCATCGTTTATTCTATATTCATGATTACTATTTCCATGACCAAGATACATAACTTTACATTTTACAACAGTCATTTCCATTAGCCATTCCTTTGACCATTTTGTGACAATGTTTAAATTGTTTTGAAGAATCAGACAATCAACATCGTGAAACTCAGGTCTTGTTTCTTGTAAAGGTTTAGTGTCATCAGCATAGATTTTATGAACTGATTTTAACTTATCCGTTAAGTCACTAATATAGATGATGAACAACGTTGGTCCAAGTACAGACCCTTGTGGAACTCCGCTTAGATCCACGGTCTAGTCGCTAGAGTGTTTACCTAAAACAGTTTGCTGCTTTCTACTAATCAAAAATGACTCAATCCATTTAAGAACATTGCCATTGATTCTATAAGCTTTCAGTTTATGAAGTAGTTTACGGTGAGAAACTTTATCAAACACTTTCGCAAAGTACAAAAATGCAATATTAACAAAGTTTCTTTTATTTAACGACTTCGTAATGTCGTCAACACTTTGCAATAAGTTAGATGTACATCCTTTTTTGGACATAAATTCATGTTGATTATGTGAGATACGACTCTTTTTTTTATAGATATTTAGTTATCTGATCCCTGAAAATCTTTTCCATTACTTTACATGAAACTGACGTGATAGACACTGATCTGTAATTAGCGGCATCAATGCGACACTCTTATTTAAACGTCAACGGTGTGACGTGTGACTGCTTCCAAGCTGTAGGTGTTGAGCCTTTGGACAGTGCTTTATTATAAAGTAAAGTAAGAGGGTAAGTCATTTGAGCTGCGCATTCTTTAAGTACCTTTAGAATAATGTTATCAACAGCAGTAGATTTATTAGGGTTTAAATTACTCAAATAAGCTAGCGTTGCTTCAAAATTAATAATTATGTCGGCTAAGTCTTCTTGATAATGTCTTCTCTCAAAAACAAGTATCTGACTATTTTTACTGTTGTCAACAAAAACTAATTAGGAGTGTTAGCAACAAATTGCCTAACGGCAAATAGCTAGTCAAGTTGATTACTCTAGTTGAAGAGTCTTTACTCTGTAATAACTAAATCCAAAGTATTTTTTTGCTTTTCTATTAGATGCTTTGAATGTCAAGAAATCAATTAGCCAAAGTGTTAAGAAAAACACTTGCCGCACTATTTTGACCGCTTATAATTTGATCCTGTCCTCATAGTACCATTTGATTCCCGGTAGGTTGATATCACTTGCTAGTAACATACAACTATACGCTTTTCTATCAACAGCTTGCTTTGCTGGAATAATTGTTTTATTTATATCGTTTATATGCAATAAAGGTGGTCAAGAACATTTCTTATCGATTTTAATTTCACACCATATTTTCTTTGAGTTACTGTTGGTTAAGGTCTTTTTTAGATGCGATCAGATACCTCATTCGCGACTAGATTACACTTGATGTAGATAGCAATACCTCCGCCGTAACCTATTCCATTTTTCTTTACAAGTTTACTAGTGAGTAGTTATTTAATTGGGTGCCAGATAATTCAGTAAACGATGTCTCAGAGATAAAGATTAAATCATGCATGTTTATGTCACATAATTTATCTCTGAGATATGGTTTACTGAAATACCTGCCACTCAATTAAATAACTACTCACTAGTAAACTAGTATAGACAAGTTCTTTACCTGTGAATACTTGTTTACCAGCGAATATTTGTTTAAATTCATTAAATACAAAAATAAACATTTTGATTCATTGTGTTTTTACAAGAATGCTTAAAGTGTCCATTGATTGTAACTTTCTGTGAGACATCAATGTATTGCAATTTCTGACCTTGACAAGCTTGTAAATTTAAAAAATTTACAAGCTTGTCAAGGTCAGAATTAGCTAATTTTTTTTCTGAGTTTAATTTATTGAATTTGCTTTGTTCTGCTGTTGCATAATTCTAGCTTAACTGCGGAAAACAAAGACAACGGCAACCATTAAAAAAACATTAACAATAAAAATGCTTCAGATTCTAGATACTTTCAACAAAGTTAAATTGAAAACAAAGTTAAAAGAGAAATTTTATCCCTAAGACCTTATACCTATTTGATGTAAACAGTGGCATTGAACAAGTATGAACACCGTTAAGCTAAGTTATTTGTGGTTCCAGTACATATTATTTATATATCATAAGTTTATATAATTATAATTATAGTTTTCGTAAATAAAAATAACAATAAGTATTAACAACAATATAAAATTGATACATGTCATATGTATCTATAATACTTATAATGCTCTCTGAAGAATACTCTTTAATTTGTGGAGAGTCGGAGGAATGAAGGTGATCAAAGTTTATTCTTGGTATCGTTGTCATTATGATTTGTCATGAATATGATTGTTCTTTGTATTGTTTTCATTATGATTTGAGTTTCTTGTATATGTTCATAAGGTGATTCAAGGGTTATTGCATACCGTGTTTGCAATGTTTCATCTTTAGTTTGCCATGTATATGAATATGTATATGTTTTCAGGAATTAGTCATTATCAAACATTAAAACTATGGTTTTTATTCTGGGCATAGCATCAAGAATCTGATGGCAGAATAAAACTTGAGCAGAGATAACTGACTCTTTCTTTAGATTTAGGGTGGTGAGCTAAAAAAATACGATGAGTTATTCTCCATTGTTATAAAAAATCTTTTGTTCCTCAAAATCAAAAAAAAAAGATTTTTAAACAACTATGGAGTTTAATTGTAGAATGAATTGAGGACTACCATCAGTTGATATTTCTATGGAACTCCAAACGTCGTGAATAGTTTACATTTTGTTTGCGACCAATTTTTAATCCGTTTATTGTTATAGTGTAGAATTTCTTCAAAGCATCTATTTTATCCATTTACGCAGGATGTAAATTCTCAAAGAGCCCGATTATATATATCGCATCTAAAAGATTTAATAAAGGTGGTAAGATGTTCATCTTTCATACGTATTGGAATACTACGGTAACCACTCCAAGCGTTGGAAACAATTTTCCATAAAAGTATTGGAATTGAACATTTAGAATGGCGATTTTTTTTATTTGTTGTTATTTCAGGTGCCTCAAGAAGACCGAACGGTTTTGTCACAGAGCACCGCGGAGGTGCATTTAACGAGGAAGTTCACGCCTTCTTCCTTACCGTGACGCGAAAATATGTCCAGAGCTCGTTTCGAACCTGAATCTTCTGCTTTTAAAGCAAGCGCTGTAACCACTGCGCCACGGCCGCACAATTTCATAGCATAAGTCTCTATGTAGCAGTATGACGGGGCCAACCGATCATATTTACGTGTGATAACCATTGTGTAACACTATATTGCAGGTTTACCACAAGGAACATTTACAATAACTCTTTAAAATTATCAAAAAGTAAATTTCCCAGTGGACACAAGCACAAAAAACGTACAACGAACGTTCAGACAGAATTTCTTGTAAAAAAAGTCCGAGGAAAGTCGCACAAAAATAGTAACGAAAGATAAACCTCAAAAACTCGAGAAGCATCGAAAAAAAGAAGTAAGAGTGACGTTTTTTAGTGATTACTCAGGAAAAAAATTCTATAGAATTGTCTATAAACTTTGGAAGCATATGGCCTATAGAAACTCTATAGAATTTTTATAGAATGTTTATTAATTCCTATTGAAATTGCTATAAAACTTTCCCAGGAAAAAAAGCTCTATAAAGTTTTTATAAACTTTTGAAACAAATGGCCTATAGAAATTCTATAGAATTTCTATAAAATTCTATAAAATGTCTATTAATTTCTATAGAAATTGCTGTCAAACTTTTTTTTCTATAGAAAAAAAAAAAAGAAAAAAAAGTTGTATAGAAATTTTTATTAAAGTTAATAGAGATTCTATACTAATTCTATAGAATTCTATAGAATTTCTATAAGTTATATGTTTCAAAAGTTTATAGAAATTCTATAGAACTTTTTTTCCTGGGTTTTTTTCAATAAAAAAAAAAGTAGAAAATTTCAATAGGAATTTTTATAAAAGTTAACAGAAACTCTATAGAAATTCTATAGAATTCTGTAGAATTTCTATAGGCCATATGTTTCAAAGTTTGTATAAAATTCTATAGAACTTTTTTTCCTGGGTAAACAGCTAGACTATAAATTATTCTATTCAAAATTTAGATAAATATTATGGTTTAATGAACAATTATTTTTTATTCATATCTTTAAGTTAATCTGTGTTATGAGCAATAAAATTTAAAAAAGTTGTTTTCATTAAAACTAATCATATGTACCCTATAATATTTTCAAAGTACAATTATGATTTGGCTATTAAATTTTCTATTCCCATCAGAAGTTCTAAATTATGGAACACTTTATTAAATAATGAGCTAGAAAATTGTTCTTTATTAAAACAAAAAATCAAACAAAAACTTATTGAAGATGTTAATGAATTATATTTAATGAAAAAAAAATGGTAATGCTTTAAATTATCCTATTAACTTATCTCTAGTTTTTTAGGTTTGATTATTTTTATTTTTACAATTTTCTTTTGATTATAGGTAACTAATTTTAACATATTTGTGAATATTTGTATATAAATTTTAAATGGTACAAAGTAGTTGTATGTTTATCTTTTAATGGTTGTACACGTTTGCTAATTAAAGCACGTCGGGGTGTAGTCCCAGGAAAAAAGTTTTATTGAATTTCTATAAACTTTTGAAATATATGGCCTATGGAAACTCTATAGAATTTCTATAAAATTTTTATTAATTTCTATTGAAATTGCAATAAAACTTTTGTTTTCTATAGACAAAAAGTATAAAAAAAATTTCTATAGAAATTTTTATAGAAAATTTACAGAGATTTTATAGAAATTCTATAGAATTCTATAGAGTTTCTATAGGCCATATGTTTCAAAAGTTTATAGAAAGTCTATAGAACCTTTTTTTACTAGGGGTGGTAAGGCAAATATTGTCTTCTTATAGCCGCGGTCATTTAGATTTTTTTTTAGCTAGTTAAATTAAACAGAACGGGCATGTTCCGTAAGCCATCATCAGCTAGTTAGGTTAGCTCGTGCATGATTGCACGGAAGAAGATGCGCTGCGGTGATAGCTGATCGAATCTTGCTTTGAAACAGTTGACACTAACAACTCTGGCAACATTGTTTGGTTGTGCGTTCCCTAGGTGAGCGACGCGGTTGTTGAAAAAGTTGAATCAAACGTGGCAATTTTTGTTCATTTTACAATGAAAGCACTTGTGATGACCATAAACTTAGTGGGATATTAAAAGGAGCAATATGCCAAATAACTAAGTTGATGTTGTTCTTGAATTTGTATTTTTGAATGAGGTCGCCCTGTAAAAGTCTATCGAGTAGTGAGGTGAGTTCAAGATTGATGCATCTTGTCTCGTAGTCAAAGCGCTTCATTTTGTGCAGTATTTTGGTAGCCCAATGCTAGATGCGTTTTACGATAATTTTGTCTTTTTTAAGATACATTAGGCGGTAACTGCGAACTCGAAATGTGGGCATATATAGGTGATGTAAAACCTTTTCCATATTTTGGTGTCTCTGCCGATGAACGTGTGTTTTAAG